TGAGGGCATCTGGAAGAGACACAGACATGCACTGGGAGAGGTATGGATGTTTTTTTTGTTTTTTTTTTTTGTTTTTTTCCCCTGGGCTTTTTGAGAGACACCAGCAAGGAGAGAAGGTTAGCTAGGTGCTACTCAACCTCTCTGAGCTATGAGGTTTTCACCCGAGCCTTTTAATCTCAAGGTTTATTTACAAATAGAACCACAGAGATGTAGTTAAAGCTATCTTTAGCTGTAGCGGCAGAGCCAGTGCCTGCAGGAACAGAATTCCTGCCAGGCTGCGGCCCGAGTGGCCAACCCGATGCCAGAGAAGCAGGCTGGTAATTTCAGAGTCACAATTGCTGGCTGAAATAGTGATAGATTAAGGTGCAGCCATTGTGCCAAAGATAAAATAACAGTCTCCCATTCCCCATCTTGGAACCAAGACTGGCCACCTGTATGACTAAGACAGTAAGTTCCGACCCTTTATCAGGCTCCCCAGCCCAGGGTGAATCCAAGGCTTTCCATGCTACAGAAGTGCTCTGCCACCAGGCTACAAGCTCAGGTGCCATGTGCATGCACGGAGTGCGGGGCACATGCATTATTGGCCAATCACATACAGGAGGTCCACAGAGAGCAATATAAGCTGTTAGAGCTCACTGCTTACCTTTCTTGACACATACCGTCCTGTAGTTCCAGGGATCTTAAAATAGGTGCTGATGCTTGCACAGCAAGCACCTTGCCCACTTAGCCATCTCCATAACCCGTGTGCCAAGATGTTTGGAAGGCCAGAGATACTGCTTAGTGGGCAAAGTGCTTGCTTTATAAGCATGAGGACTTGAGTTGACCCCAGAACTCATCTAACAAAGCTGGGGTGCTGGGGATCCCTGATGCTCACTGCAGTGAGCTCCAGGTCAGCAAGAACCAACCCCAGGAAAAAACAAAGGCAAAAAAAAAGGTAGGCAGTGCCTGAGGAAGGTGGGTACACCAAATGTTGCCCTCCAGCCTTAGTTATGAGAACACTTAGACGTGTACATGCACATACCCAGCACACAGATGCACTCCGCTGACACATAAGCATGCATACAGACGTGCATACGTGTAAAAGAATGCCAAGATATTTTAAAACCATGACAAAAATATTTTAGGGAGAAAAGCCAGGCTTTAGAGAGGAGAAAGAAGAACAAGACTCATTCTTGAGTTGAAAGACTTGAGTCTCACTTGGATGAGTCTCACCTGCTAAGGAAATGCAGTTTGACCACAGGTGTTAGTCTTAGGAAAATGACCAAGCTTTGCCACAGACCTGGATTTTAAGTTAGTCCTACCCACTTTGAATTAACAAACCTGGGAATTCTGTGACTTGGGTAGGGGAGACACAGCTTCTCAAATGGTCAGTGTCATCCTGTATAATACGGGAATCGAGACGGCAATGCTGTGGATCTCTGTGAAATTACTAATCAATCTCAAAAATCAGTGTATTTATGTGCAACACGAGATGGCAAGGCTTTGTGCAGTGTTCAAGGACTGACGAGTGTAGTTACTTTGCATCCTGCTGCTTGGGCTCCAGGCTATACAGAAAAGTGTAACGGAGTGGGCTACAATGTCAGCTCTAGACATGGTTTCCAGGAGCCACAGGGCAGCTGTGCTGTGAGGAGAGCTGCAACATCCATTCACCCATGCAGCTTTCTGTCATCTGTAACTGGGAAAGGCAGCTCTTTTTACAGATGGCATCTGTCTGCAGCTCTTGAGGTTTGTGTGTGTGTGTGTGTGGCGGGGGGGTTGTCATTGACAGCTTGGGTGAGGGGCATTGACAACTTCTGCAAAAAGAGCAGTCTGCTCCAGGGTATGGAGCAGTCCTCAGACTTACACCAAAGTGATTCAGGGAGAAGAGTGAAGTCAGACTCCAAGACTGCTGGGAGGTTCGTTAACACTCCACACTTCAGTCTCTTCTACTTGCTCGGCTACAGGATGGTTGGTACAGGGCTGTAGATGAGGGAGGCCTGGTCCTCTCAAACCAAGACTTGCATTGCTTTGGGTGAAAAGCCAGGGACTTTCCTTTCACAGAGCCCGTCGTCACATTTCCTGGTTACTCTGGACAGACCTCCTGTGATTTGGTACCAAGAGTGAAGCTCTAAAGGCAGTGGCAATCGAAGGCTCTTCCTAATTCAAAGGACAGATAGGAAGGAGAGTCTACTGAAGTGTGAACCACTCAAACCTACCTCTCCTGCCAGCAATATCTTGCCCTTTAATAACCTTAATTTTGAATTAAAAAAAAAATCTGAGATAAGGTCTAACTCCGTAGCATACCTGGGTTTAAGACAGTACCTCTCTATGTAGTGCAGATTTACTGTGATCTTATCATCCTCCTGCCTCTGCTTTCCGAGTGCTGGGATCACAGGTGTTATCCCCATACAGCTTGATTATAGCTGATCTTTAAGCAAGGTTAGCCTTAATCCAAAGTTCCTGAGCTGTAGTCACACATTAAAACAAACAGAACCATTTACAAAATCAATTGTCTTTTGTTTTCTTTTTAAAAGGAGAATTTCAAAGTTTATCCTTAGGTAACAAACTGCTCTTTCCATAATCTTTATACTTCTGAGAAAAAAAGAAAAAGCTGTGGGGGTTTCAGCTCAGCTTACCTCCATTTGTAGATATGAAATGTCTCCAAGTCTCCACAGAGGGGAGAAAAGCCAATGTTGTACTGAAGAGTCTAGCTCCTCTGACACCAGTGGGGGCCACCAGGGCTTTCTACCCACACACATGGAGCTGTTGGCACTGGGACACGGCCACACTGCTACCTACCAAACTATAGAATTCTTATGCCAAGGAAAACAAAGCCTAACTGTAGGCCACGAGTGAAAATAATTCCTTCATTTTCAGTTGCGGTCTTGAACTCACGCTGCCAAGTGGCCACCCCAGTTGCTGGAGCTGAGACTGTCTGCGGACGTTTCAAGAAGACTCAGCCAGCGGTGCAGTTGTGACGTTGAGACACTATACTGATAATCTTCTGCTTCTTGTTAGAAACTGTTCTTAACTCAAAGCTGACTTATTTTTTAAGTGTGTGTCTGGGAGGAGGGGTACCTACAAACGAAACTAAGAGGTTCTTGCAAGCTGCTTCATGCAGGCTGTGAGAGAGCCCACTGGACAAATGCTCCAACTCCCTCAAACAGTAGTCTACCCACACAGTAGTCTCCCTGTGCATCTTCTTTCTGGTTTTCCAACCTGCTTAGAAAATATGGCATAATGAAAGCTAATAGTATCCAGTCCTCCTCCACACTCTATGGGGATCATTATTTTTTGCTTGTCACGCTGTTCTACACAAAGACAGATAATAAGCCACCTGACAGAAAACTTGGCTGGAGAATATATGGCTTTTGTTTAGTAGCCTGATTGTAATAATGTTTTCTTTCTGAACTTTACAACTATAGGTAGTTTACTGCCTATCCAAGGAAGCAAATCTCTAACTATGAAATGAGACAATGCAATCTTGAACCCAAGCAGAACACTGACAATACTTAAAAACAGGGAACTCATTAAAGTGCACTGCAGCTACCCAAATGCCCAGTGCCTTCCTGTATACACTGAAAGCTAATGATCCACTCTGCATTGCTATCAAAATCACAGTTATGAAGCAGCAACAGAAATAATGTTGTGGTTGGGATCACCACAACATGAGGAACTGTATTAAAGGGTCGCAGCATCAGGAAGGTTGAGAACCTCTGCTCTGTGGTGATAGGAATGGAACCCGGGAACTTACATATGCCAAGAAGTGCTCCACCACAGAGCTGCAGCCCCAGTTAGCAAAGGTATCTTCTGCCAAACCTGACAACCCAAGTTCCATCCCTGGGAGCCACAGGGAGGAAGACAATGGTCCCTACAGGCTGTCCTCTGACTTCCACACCTACACAGTGCCGTGCCCACACCCATTCATATATAAGTAAATAAAATATAATAAAAATGTAAAAAAAATAAAGACTACAAACACGAAGGATAGGATTACACACTTTAATCTGATTGACGTGGAGAAAGTAGGGAAGACATCAAAGAAATTTAGTTTTAAGTCCATTTCATACACAGCCTGATGCAATTTCTCTAAAAAGTTTTAAAAGCCACTTTTTGTCAGAGTCCCTCGGGAAACCACACTACGTGTAATCCAGGAAAGACACTATTTGCAGAAAATCATAATGGGCAACAGAAGATTAAAACAAAAGAAAGCACCAGGGTTCAAGCAGTTCTAGGGTGAGGGTACCTGCAGAAATGATGTCAAAGCTCCTGGGTGGCTGCCATGGAAACGTGCTAATGAGGGGTTGGTCCAGTCTTAGCATAGCTTTCTTTGGAGAAGTGGCAATGTTAGCTGACAGTGCAGCTGTTCTCAGACGCCCAGCTTACTGGCCTGACTGAGAACAACCTTGAGGACCGGCATGAATGCGGACGTCTCACTGAAGTTGCTGTTGCTGACGATGTGGGTGTGGACGGTTAACCCTTCAGAGTAGTTCCTGGTCTCAATGCTCCTCGCAATGCTGTGTAGGCCATTGATGATGGTTGGGGAAAGCTGAAGTAAAGGTGGAGGCAGGACATGGAATACATTAGGGGGGTGTCCCATGAGACCCCTGAAAGCATTAAACCCAGAGATTTACACAGAGCCTGAAATACACTGTCTAAAAATGTTTAGCTAGTTAGCATTTCTGGAATATTTTAAACCAAGCAAACATTTTAGACCAGGTAAGAGTTACATTGTAAAATAGAGCCATGGAAAGATGATTGGTGTGAAGTCCGTCTCTTCTGGCATTAAAAAAAAATTTTGTTTTGCTTTTTTTTCCTTTGTAACCAGATCTTGCTACATTGTGCAGGCTGGTCTCACACTCCTGGGCTCAAGTGATCTTCCCGACAGTCTCCAATATACCTGGCTGTGTCCTCTCCCTCTCTGTCTTTTTGAGACAGGGTCTCGTGTATCCTGAGCTAGCCATGAACTATGCAGCTGAGGATGTACTCCTGACTCTCCTTCATCCATCACACTGTCTCAATCCATCACCTCTTAAAATCAAAGTCTAGCTCTCTGCCATGGCATCACTCAGTACACCCCATACTTTAGAAGAATAATACTATCTTTTGGATCAGTCATAGACCACTCGTCTTCCTATTGGACCAGCTTTCTTTGCTTTGGTTCTCAAGAGAAATGCTGTTCTTATCAGATGGGATGTGTGGTGAACAGGGTTACTGCAAGACTGTCAAGCACAGCTTTTGTCCTCTCCGATCTTAGCACTCTCACTGGTACACTCTCAAACAGAGCAGCAGGCGGGTTCCCTTCACAGTCACAGAACACTCCCGACCCACACCTGGTTTTGCTTTCTGTATCAGCTGTTTGGGAGAAAAGGATCTAGAGTCTCAGACTCCAGAGAGATGGCAGGTTTCCTCTCTAGACAACAGAGTTCCTGCCCTGTCTCTAGTTTCTGATACATGGCCATGAAAATGAGCAGCAGGCCAGCTACCCTGGGCCCAACGCAGTCCAGTTTGTATTTCTGATGTTTGCTACAAAAGGGTTAATTCCCTGCTCATGTTGTGTCTCCCACCCCACACAAATGAGATTTGGGAAGCCCACTCTAGCTTTCCTGGCCATCTTGCCCTCCGTACATGGAAGGACAGTGCTAATGAGACATTTTATTAGCAACAAGGAATAACTGACTGTCACAGTCTATCTTTCCCCTTAAAAAAACTTACTGTCTGTTCCCTAAGTTTGTCGTACAGAAACTCCAGGCGTTTGCTGGCATCATCGAGCTTCCTCTTGGTTTGCTACAGGAGAGGAAGAACAGACGTTACACTTGGCAACAGGACCACAAGCTGGAACATGTTGCTGGAATGGACATTAGTAATCGACTGAGGGCAGGGAGGAGATGACACTCTCTTTGAGAACACACAATGGGGTTTTAAGTAGGCTTCATGTGGATTATAAACTCACTTGACAAGGAGTGTCATAGAGTGTGTGACATTTCAAAGGCCTTGGGCAGCAGTAGTGGGTCAGTGCCACAGAAAAGGGCACTGATTGGAGATTATGTGTATAAGAAGGAAACATAGAGGGGGTGTTGTAATAAAAAAAAGCAGTGCAAGAAAGATGCCATGTGACAGTTCAAGTGGAGGGTTTTTTATTAGGGAGAGGGATTATAAAAAGGAGAAAGGGGGATTGGAGAGATAGCTGAGTGGTTAAGAGCACTGACTGCTCTTATAGAGGACCCGGGTTCAATTCCCAGCACACAGACATGGCAGCTCACAACTGTTTGTAATTCCAGTTTCAGAGGACTGGCCACCCATGGCAAAACACCAATGCACATAAAATAAAGATAAATAAATTAAAAAAAAAATAAAAGGAAAGGGGAGGAGGGAAACCAAGAGCAGTGGGAGAGGAGAGAGGAGAGAGGGAGGGTGACAGAGGGAGAGGGAGAGAGGGAAGGGGAGAGACAGAGGGAGAGAAAAAGAGAGGAGGATGGGAGGTGGGCAGGGCCCTTTTAAAAGGGAACATAGTGAATGTGCACAGGTGGTGCTCTTAGTGGCTGCAGCTGAGGGCGTATCCTGTCAGAACCCCAAGGACAGGCCAGTGCAGATGCCTGAATACTAACAGAGCTGTGGAATCTAGCTTTCACCTTTCAAAACTCCTATTTATACACTTCCCAACATCTATGTTTAGTCCTGCCTCTATCCAGGCCTCTAAGGCACAGGAAAAAAGGAAGTATTTCTGGCATTAAGGTCACCAGCAAGAGCACTTGCCTGGCCTGTACCACTCCTTGGGGGGTGGGTCCCTCCAAAAAGGGTGACCAAGACCTAAGCAGTAAAATTGACCCTTAAATTAAGGGGTCAACGCCCTTGCTTCAAGCCATACACTCTTAAGTGTATATCGGAAAACTTTTCAAACATTAAAGATTTTAAAAATAAAATATGATAAGTGATCTCTATACACAGCAACGAGCCTTAGAAAGACTACATCACTGTTATTGAATATCTAACATGTCCTATACTTAGAAAAACCACACCGTTACTGAATATCTACCATGTTCTATGCTGGAGACAAAGTCTTACAATCAAAAATTCTAAAAAATGGGAAGAATAATAAGTAATCGCAGTGTTTTTATGTTAGGACAGGGAACTGACTGGCAGTGTTGGGGGAGTAGACAAAGGCCTGATGCAGTGATGTGTGGGCAGAGGCCTGAATAAGATTGGCTGGAGCAAATGAGGCCTGTTGGAGTTGGGTGAGGGCAGATCGGAGCAAGTGTGAGTGCTGGGGTGTTGTAGGCAGGAGTGCCTAGCCTGTATCTCAGCAGAGCAGATGGGAGCCATTAAGGGTAGCACCATATACTAAATGTGCTACACAACTAGTGTGTATAATAAAATGGAGAATAAATCCACATTATAAAAACTCCTCTCACTGCTAAATGCAGGGAACTTTGTAGACAGGAACCCCATGGTCCCTGCTCAAAGCTACTCCCTCTTCTTAGACAGGACAGCTGGACAGGGAAAGAGGACCTGCTGCAGAAACAGTGTTTCTCTTCCTGTTCTCTTCACCCAGGGCTCCTAGGAGCGCAGGAGGAAGGCAGTGTGAAGACAGAGTAGGTTAAAGTCAACACCAGTGGATGAGATGAGCCATATACTGTGTCCTCTTCCCCTCTCTACACTGCTCATGCCTCAAGAGGTACAGGAATTCTGCCCTGACATCACTGAATTCCTCCATTTGGGGGAGACTGTGCATGTCTACCTAGCGCTGTGCACAGGACACAGTGTCCATTTGGCCATCAGCTTCACTTGCTCTCTAGTTTCTACTTGGTCTTCTGATCACTCCCAGAATACAAGGTCTCTGTTACTCTCTGGTCTGCTGCCGTTTTCAATACAGAACAATTTCCATGAGGCTGGCAAAAGGCTGCACAAATGAACACCTGTGTATGAAGAAACAACGCATCCCAAAAGCTATTGTATCCCTGCCAATAGACAATAGGCTAATGTCTTAATAGACATTTTCACTATTTGCTAGTACAAAATGAAACATCATTTCCAACAGAGCTGGCTTTATGGGCTCTGATGCCAAACCAAATGCATCCTCCATACAATTACCTTAACCATGGCCACATCTCTACATTGGAGCGCTCCAGAGCAGCAGCCCCCTTGCCTGTCACTGCTGTGCCCTACATCTGCACCAGGATAGTTAGCAGATGACAGGCAGCACAGCTTGGAGCTGAGAACCTGGAGCAGGTTGGTAGGGCTAATAAATGCTACTCATGTGGTTCTTCACCTTAACTCTCTCATTTGTGAAGGAATGAAGACTCTACCTATCATAGGGTCGTTATGAAGGTTAAATGTTCACTAATCTCATGGAGTTAACTAAGTGCTAGCCTTATTACTGTCTAAGACACACAACTAGTAGGACATGGAACAATACTGAAGGAGCACTACAAAAGACTATAAGAAAAAGATTAACAGATTCTCATTTTACTATTTTATGTGTCTACTGGTTTTGGCTGCATGTGTGTGAACCACATGTGTGCTGTGCCTTCGGGGGTCAGAAGAGGGTGTAGGATCCCTTGGGAGTGGAGTTACAGACAGTGGCTCACTACCATGTGCGTGCTGGGAATGACACCCAGGTCCTCTGCAAAAGCAACAGTGGTCTCTACTGCTGACCCAACTCCAGGTTATATTTATAATTAAGTCACCTATGAGGGGAAATACATACGGGGTCTGTGGCTGAAGAGAGGCAGCGCTGGATAAGATCCTCAAACGTGGTCTTTAGAATGAGGTGCTCATCTGGAATAGGTTTCTTGGTAATCTTTTCTGTTGGCATAGCCTGCACGTGCTGTAAGAATTTGTGTTATAAAAACAATCAGCAATGAACAGAAAGTACTTTATATACATATATACCAAGTCCCGATTCTATGTGAAAGAGGACCAATCGCCTTATAGACAGATGTTTTAAAAGGCCAGGTAGTGGTAGCTCACACCTTTAATCCCAGCACTCAGGAGGCAGAGGCAGGCGGATCACTGTGAGTTCTAGGCCAGCCTGGTCGATCTACAGAGTGAGTTCCAGAACAGCCGGGACTGTTACACAGAGAAACCCTGTCTGGAGAAACAAAACAAAACAAAAATTACAATGAAGATTTAATGTGTGAAATTACCCAGGATAAGATACTAGTAGAAGTGCTAGCATGCCTTGGGCAGCTTGGATTTGTAAAAGGACTGGGGCTCTAGCTAAGTGGTAGGATGCTTTTCAATGAATGTGAGACACCCCCCCCCCCAACACACACATACTCTCTGAAGTAACTGACTACATACATAGTCCTTGATTTTTGTTTATCCTAGCATTCATCCATCCTTTTACGCTCTCTCTCTCTCTCTTTTTTTTACTTCTTTTCTATTTTTGGTTGAGACAGGGTTTTTCTAACCCTCCTGACTGTCCTGGAACTCACTTTGTAGACCAGGCTGGCCTCAAACTCACAGAGATCCACCTGCCTCTGCTTCCAAATACTGGGATTAAAGATGTATGCCATCACCACCCAGTCTTTCATTTTGTTTTTTGAGACAGGGTTTTGCTGTACAAGCCAGGCTATCTTGAACTCATGGTGATTCTAACATAAGCCTCCAAAGTGCCTCAATTACAAGTGTATAACACATCTATTCTTTTACTATTCTTAAAGTGGGATAACTGGTTACAAAAAACTGCCAGATTAAGTCAAAGGGTAGACAGAATAGATCACAATATTGCTAAGTACAAAGATGAAAGGGCAAACAGGGACTCTAGTTTTCTATACTTTTATTCATCAGTTAATTCTTTCATTCACACAGAAAATATCAGGCATTTATGTGCCAGGACTTGCTATGCACCAGTGAGCCGTCTCAGTTCTAAGGAAATTCACAGGCCACTGGGAGAGAAGCAAAGCTTAAACATGTAACGATAGGTAACATCGTAACTACAGTAAACTGATGTTCAGGGGAACTAAACTATAACTCAAATCTGACTGAAGGGAGGGAAATGCACTTCAGAAAATTACATAAGATAAACAGGACTAACCACTTAAGGAGGGAAAGAAAAGCATTCCAGAGAGAGGGAATAATATATAGAAAGGAAGGGCCATAAGGATACAAGGAAACCAAATAGAGGTCAATACAGTAAGAGCAAGGAATATGAGCTCAGCTTTCTGGATGATTATTTTTCCTTATCCATTAACAACAGGAAGCTGTAATGTTCTAGTCAAAGAGGAGGTAGGAACCACCTCAGATGATGCAACCCGCAGTACTGAAAACCTCTTTAGGCAGACGATCTCTCAACAACCATCCACACACTCTAGGCTCAGGCAGGACGTCCTTCCATTTCCTCATAGTGAATACTGACCCAGCTCTTCATTCTTCTGCATAGGTCAAAACATCTTTGTCCTCCTAAGTCTCACTTGGAAATGTGTTCAGAGTTTTTAACTTCTGAGATGCTGCCAACTAAAGTATAACTGTCTCACCATCTAGAGGCACAGTGAGCTTAGTAGTTTTGCTATTATTTGATTTTTTTTTTCCCCCAAGAAAGAGTTTCTCTGTGTAGCCCTGGCTGTCCCTGAACTCAAGAGATCTGCCTGCCTCTGCCTCAGTGCTAGGACTAAAAGTGTGTCTGTCACTTTGCCTAGCTTAGCTTAGTAGGTTTTAAGCAAACACATTAAATGATGTAACTCATAACATTTAACATTGTAAAAAAAAAAAAAAAGAAAGAAAGAAACCTATAAAAACTGCTGTTACTTAGCAACATCAGATGCAGAGAAGACTCAACCTTAAATTGTGTACTGACTACATTAAGTAAAATACTATAATTACTGAGACATAGTAAACATACATTCCCAAAATGTGTAATTCTTATCTCAAAAGCTTACATATAACATGTAATGGAAAAAAAAATACACATATGCACGACTGATCTACTAAAATGGAGTAGCTATTTTGAAACTAACACTGCTAGAATCATGTGAGCTAACTTATCAAAGAAACATACTGAAAGGAGCCGTCTTCCCAACCACGCCTACAGATTTATGATACCTGGATGGTGTTTCCAATAGGAGCTCCCGGGGCTCCCTCGATGTTGGGCTTTGAGAAAGATGGTGGCATGCCTGTTTGACCAAGAGGTTGCTGTACACCATGGAAGGGCTGGCCACCCACAAGGTGTGGCTGTGGGAAGGAGGCCTGGCTTGACAACGGCCCTGGAGCTGACGGTTGCTGCTGCAGCATCTGTGACTGGGGGTCACCAGCAGGGTTCATGATTGGTGATGTAATGGGAACAGGAGGCATGAAGTTCTCAGGCATCTTTTAAAAGGTGAGGAAGGGAGAGGTGAGAATTAAAACATTGAAACTAAGAATAAAAAGGAAAACGCTTCCTTAGCGCATAAAACTAAAGGACTTAGCGCACCTCAGTTAAATTTTCTTTGTAGAAGAACACTTTCCAAATCAAACTTTATACAGAATCGCAGAGCAAAGGATCAACGTAGACTTACTGTGGCTAACATGGGTGAGGAATACACTTTATAGAGTCATCCCTCTGTCATCTTACAGTCTCACAAAGACACAGCATTTTCATCTAGAGGTACAGGGACCAATGTGTCATATATGTGCGTGTGTGCATGTGCACATATTAAATGACAGCAGGATGTCACTCCCATTTCATAGATCACTAAGTAGCTATTACTTGGCACTAAAAAATATAGTTGAGTAAGTTTCTGGTTATTATTAACCTTTTTTTGAAGCTCCCTACTAAATGTCTCCCAATTTTATGTTCTAGCCTCTCAGTCTCATACTCAGGGGAAAGAAATCACTAAGAATTTATATATATACACACATACACACAGCTTCAAAGAAAGGAAAAATCACCATTTGTGTTCAAATTATTGACAGTGTCTAACAATTACTGACATATGAACAGGGCATTTCCTCATTTACTATTGTGCCAGGGAGAGCAAACTGACTGGGTGGGTAAAGGCACCTGTCACCTAGCCCAAGGATCTGAGTTCACTCTTTGCCATACACATGGTGGAAGGAAAGAATCAACCCTCCAAAAGGTGTCTTCTGACTTACACACACACATTGAGGCAAACTCATGAGTGTGTCACACATGCACACATGGAAAAAAAAGCAGACACTTATTTAAAAAAATATTGTGAGGGGCTGGAGAGATGGCTTGGGTTAGGAGCACTGGCTGTTCTTTCAAAGGACCCAGATTCAATTCCCAGGACCCACATGGCAGCTCACAACTCTCTGTAACTCCAGTTGCAGGGGATCTGACTCCCTCACACAGACATACATGCAGACAAAACACAATCATAAGAAAATATTGCAAAAGAAAATCTAAAATGTAATTATAAATTACATTGATTACAAAATATAATCATGATTATTGCTAGACTCGAAATAGTCGAGAACAAAGTGTGAAATTCTGTTCCCTGCCTGCAGGAATGTGACACCCTGCCTTTTAGAGAGGCTTTCCTTTATATCCCTGTCATCAGAACAAGGTTTTACTGGGGGTAGGCACAAGTAGGAGAGGTCAGTTGTTGACACAGAATCTTACTTTAGGGTCAAGCCAAGACTGGCTTCAGACTGTGACCAGTAGTTGGGATCTGGGCTGTGTTTCCAGGTTCTTAGCCTCTTACTCAGGATTGAAATAAGGGCTGGCATAGATTTGCAAAAGCAGTAAAGGTAACTTTATTCAAAGCAAAAAAAAAAAAAAAAGTTTGAATTAGAAACACACTGTTAAGACTGTTATCAGAACACATGAATGAGGTTGCTCAATGGTCCTGGTTTGTTGCTATTGTTGCTTGAGGTTTCTTGTTTTGGAGTCTAAAGACAGGAGGGGCTGGCTAGCTACTAAGAAGTGTAGTTTTTGTTCTCTTTTGACTGACAAAACATGCATTAACCTGCAAGCTCTGCCTTTAAAAGGGTCGGTTATCCAGGTGGTGGTGGCTCACACTTTTAATCCCAGCACTCGGGAGGCAAAGGCAGGCAGATCTCTGTGAGTTTGAGGCCAGCATGGTCTAACAGAGTGAGTTCCAAGATAGGCTCCAAAGCCACACAGAGAAACCCTGTCTCATAGACAGACAGACAGATAGACAGACAGATAGACAGATAGGGATCAATTAAGTGTGGTGCACACTACATGATTGACAACAACAAAAACATCCACCGGTCAGGAACTATTTTCTCCATTACCTTCTTCTTCTTCGGTACTCTGTTCAAAGCTGGGGGGTCATTCCAACCATTCTGAGGACCTGGAACAGAACAGACACCAGAAGTCAGTTTCTTTCAGACCCTGAAAGGAAGAAAATGACTCATCTCACACTTAGAAATTCTCCTCAACTGTGAGGTAACTGCCATATGGACTCTAGCAATCAGCAGGGGTCACACAGGGCTTGCCTTGGTAGGCAGCATGTCTGACAGCAATGCTACTTGAAGTAAAGGGACTGTGCTGGTTGAGGCTGGAGTCCTAATGTCTAAACTGACAGGCAGCCCCCAAAGCTAGTTCACTCCTCTCTCCAGATAAAGAAAGGGCATAGATTGGTAAGTGTACTTCTGCAAAGGGTTCTGTCTGTCATTCTCAACACACGAAGAAGGATAAAGGGAAATGCCACCCAGCAAGCACATTGTAGATGCTAAATACAGTTCTATTAAAAAAAGACTAAAAGCAAGGTCAGGCAACAGGCTCAACGGTGGAATGTTTGCCCAGTACCGAAAGACAAAAAGCCAAAACCTCCACTCCATAAAAGCGGTAATTCTCAGTTTCAGACAACTACAGTAAGTTTCATCAGAAACTGGAAACCTAGCACCCTGGCATCTCAAAGTAAAAATGGCCATCGGTATTGCTCCATGTTTTAGTATCAGTACCTTACAAAAGCGTGCTGAAATCTGACAATTTCCCAATCACGATGAGGTTACTTTGGAAGCAGACAGCTGCTAAGGCGCAGGTGTGTAAGTGAACACGTGAAGAGGGAAAGTGCCCGCCCCTTCCAGTGTGTTCTCTTCAGTATTTCCCCTTTGCTTGCTAAGCTGATACGCATATTAAATCACAATAAAACTGCTTAGCAAACCAAAGAAGCTGGTTCACAGAACTCCCTTCCTACAAATTCACCTGAGACAGTAGGCTGAGTAGGCCTCTGAACACTTGCGAGTTGGTCACAACTACTGAGCCATGACTAACACCACCACACAGCAGAATCATTCGAATCTCCCCGACACCTCATTCTTACCTGCATATAGCAACCCTGTCAGCGTGTTCATATGACACACATGGCTTCTATGGTTTAGAGCTGTGAATCATCACGCCCATTCAATCACTTCTAAAATTTGATTCAATTAAGAAGCCAAATAAAATGATACCAATCAGAATTAGGGTAAGTTCACATGCATTATTGTTATCATTCATTCATTAGCTGTATTTAACGATTGAAGTATTTCAAGGTATGTTTTACAACCAATTCACCTTCCAATACAGATGCCTGGTCTTGGAAAAACTGATTTTCTGTAGATAAAATGTAAAAGTCACTTAGATGGTATTATGGAAGACATCCTAAGCTCAAATTATCACATTATAGTTTTTCTTCCCTGCTTAGCAGCACCTAGAAAAAGCCAATAACCCTCACAGGAACAAAACTTACTTTACAATTTTTAAAATGTACTTATTACTAGGTCTCTAACTAGATAGCCTGGAGTGCTCACAATGTAGCCTACACTACTCACCATGTAGCCCAGGCTGCTTACTATGTAACCTAGGATGACTTCAACTCGTGATCCTCCTGCCTTAGCCTCCTAAGTGCTGGAATTACAGATATGCAACTACTACATTTGCCCTAGAACTTACTTCCAAATCAAGTTATGTGAAATGTCTTCTGTGCAGTTAAGAAAGTTTCTTTGGGTAAATTCCTTTAAGTTGCATCAAATACAGTGAACTCTTAAATAGCATTTTCCCCTCTGACTATGCTATTTCTTCTAAGAGAGGTTTACCCTTCATTTAGAAACCATTGTCCTCTAGTTTTTGTCTTGACAGTTTCTCTATTTGACAAATGAAGCTCAGTATATCCTTAGACCACAGCATTTCCCAAAATGATACCTACTTATGACATATGGCACCAAGTGTTTTCATGTTGGCCTCATTCAGAGCTATGAACCTAACTGACCGAGAAACTTGTATAACTATAGGTTCTAACTGGTGAGGTTAAGGCAGGGCCTAAGGTTACCTTTCCAGAGAGTTCCTAGGTGACGGTAGTATTGTTGTCAGGCCTCCAGCAGTGGAGAAGAGGCAAACAGACCACACTCCCTGTCCACCTGTCAAGTACTCAGGGCCAAGGACTGGGTTAAACAGCATCCCACTTACCCTAGACAGTGAAACAGGGAAGACTTTCTGCTACTCCATGCTGCCTGCCACAAGGGAAGCTGCATTCATTCCCAGACCTGTGCTGTTGTCACTCCAGAGCTGGGGCAGCATTTGCCCTACCTCTACCGAACTGTCCACAATCTCTCCTGTGAGGGACATCTCCAGGTTGCTGTCCCTAAAGTACCACTTAGGCTACAGCATTCAGCAGTTCAAAATCTCTCACTAGACTCTGATTTTCTTATGGTGTGAACTACAAACTCCTATCCTAGTTCATAAGGCTCTTAAAAATGTGACACAAAAAGAAGTCTTATTTTCTAGCATATAACAGGAATTACTTGCTATTCTCTAGAAATATACTGTCCTTTTCTGCCTGTCTCCTTTGGCAATAATTCCAATCACAGAATAAACAGGCTCTCATTAAGAACTGGCTGAATAAAAATGTTCTGCTAAATGCAGCATCCATTTCTCTGAGCCTTTGGCACACACTCTCATACTAACAGAAAGCTGGGAAGACTACAGGATCTAAGAGGAATTATCCACTGGCCAACTGGAATTTCTAAATCCCAAACAAACCCACGATCCAAGACACATATTACAATATAACAAAATTTCCAGTCACAATTATATAACTTCAACAAAAACTTTAGGAAATCAAAAATGCCAATATGGTGAAGTAACTGTAACTAAGATGTAAAGGAAGGTTAATATGTAGGAAGTTAAGAGGCAGCAGGGCATACACAGTGCATGCTGAGGGAACATTAGTTTCTCTGTTTTTCCCATTAGCCATTCTGTCTCTCAGCCAGGTTAGAACAATTGTACAGCGCCCATAACCTCGTGGCAAAATTCACTTTTGCTCAAGAAGGAAAGCAATGCTATGCAAATATTTATTTCCTGTTATAAAGTGACAAATTGCTGGGCATTGGTGGCACACGCCTTTAATCCCAGCACTCGGGAGGCAGAGCAGGTGGACCTCTGTGAGTTCGAGACCAGCCTGGTCTCCAGAGCGAGTGCCAGGATAGGCTCCAAAGCTACACAGAGAAACCCTATCTCAAAAAACAATAAATAAATAAATAAATAAATAAATAAATAATAAAGTGACAAATCCCTCCCAAAGTGATGTGGGGAATTTCTATACTTCCACCGGGAAGCATCTAACACTAACACCAGAATTCCAAAACAGGCTGTGACGATACAGGCTAACAGACACCAACACGCACATTCCTGAGATTGTTCATAACTCCTAGGAAGCTCCAGTCTCCTCATCTACAATTTTACTAAGACTAAGAATTTCTGCTTCTTAGGGTTGTGAGGACCTGAATACAAAACACAGCAAATTCTACATCATGTCTAAGACATTAATCAGTGTGGGTCCCTTCTATGTCCTGCACTACTTTTAAGAGGGATGCACTTAAGCCCTCACTACCTTTTACTAAAGAATAGTAGCCAGTGACCCCAAATGGTTGCTTATCTAGGTTTAGAGGGTTTTCTGGAACTCTATGGGCTAGCACTCATTTCTAAACCATCAAACTACTACTGTATCGGCAGTGTATTGCTGAGATGTGTATGGTCAGCTCCTTTTATTTGTAGTTTTGTTTTTCATGGTCAACTTGGGTCTAAAGTTATTAAATGGAGTATTAAGAACCTGTAAGCAATAGTTGTAACATTAACAATGAAAGCTTTGAAGTTATGCATCACTGAGTTGTCTGGCATGTCCACCTGATGCTGTTCAGCTGTCTTGCCTCACTTCAACACAGAGGAGTGCAAGCTGTCCCTTTGTCCAGCATGTCCACTTCCTGGTCACCCCGAGGCCCTTGCAGTCGCAGAGTACCTACAGTGCTTGTGTTTACACATCCCTTACCTCACTTAACAGTGGCCCAAAGTGCAAAAAGCACTGATGCTGCAAGTTATCTGAGTTTGCTGTTTACTTTTTTATTACTGTTCATCTCTTGTTTTTCTTAACCAATAAACTGTTTTATCACATATGGGGTTGGCGGTAGGTGCTATTAAGTACCCATGGAGCTTCCACAGATAAAGGCAAGACAACTGAAGTGTCTAAACTCTTATATAGTGTATAATTTTTGTTCTTTTCAATGTTAATATTACATATTGGAGAAGGGGAAAAGAGGTGTATTCATAATTCTGGGATCCATTATCGTAAGACTTTAGAAGCAGTAATATTTTTAAAATATCTTATACCCACATTTATTGTATTTATTTGAAAAGAATGCCTCTACCACAGACTTGCGATAAACTTTATCCATTTGAGTTCCTGATTAGCATTAAAACCAGCAAACCATAGAGCAGATTCTCCCAGAACAGCTTCAGGATTAGGGGCATAAACAAGTCTCACTTCGAGCTTTGCCCTGCTAGTGTGAGCATCCATTGTAATCTGAAAAGGAAACCACTCCCCAACACTGATAGGCAAAGAGGCCTAATTTTGAGTTTTCTGTATTTATTTGTGTATGTATGAGGAGGGCAGAGGACAAACTCTGGGAGTTACTTTTCTCCTCCTGTTGGATCAAACTCAGATAGTCAGGCTTGCAGCAAGTGAACCACCCACTTCACCCACAGAACCAGCCTGCAAGCCCACAGGTCTTTTTTTTTTTTTTTTTGGTTTTTCGAGACAGGGTTTCCTCTGTGTAGCTTTGGAGCCTATCGCCTATCCTGGCACTCGCTCTGGAGACCAGACTGGCCTTGAACTCACAGAGATCCACCTGCCTCTGCCTCTGCTGGGATTAAAGGCGTGCGCCACCAATGCCCGGCAGGTCATTTTCAAAATCAAGAACATTTAAAAACACTAAGCTCACTTCAGCTCAAGTAAAGGAATGAAGGGCTCAAGACACAGCTTGGAGGTAGAGCATTTTGCTAGCACATGTGAGGCCTAAGTTCAATCCAGGATGTCCCTGTCCCCCACAAAAACTCAAGTTCTGCATTCCATGTAACAGTATCAACTAAATCTCATTTCAACTACTGCTCATCTTGCTCACTAGTTTTCTACCTTTCAAAGTAAGTTAGCAGCAGGTTATACACCCTGAGCATTTTGAAGCTCTAGACTAAGGTTGTCCTCATTTAGCAGCTGATGTTCGTCATGGGAGGCTCACACTCACAGCAAGTTTTAGAATTTCCTCACATCACTCAGCTCACCAACACTTGGAACCACAGCCCCTCCGCCCACCCTGTACTCATGAAACAGGGGGCCAAGCAAATCCCTTCCCAGCGCAGACCTGTTCTTTGGGACGCAGGCAGCTCACTGGCAGCAGGCGTTGTACCTGTTGTTCCAGGGGGCAGTGCATAAGCTGAAGATGATGGTGGAGCTCCTGGTCCGCCATGCTGGAAGGACGCTCCAGAGGAAGGGGGAGGAGGGAAAGAAGCAGCAGAGTTGGAGGTAGGTGAGGAGGCTTGCTGGGCTGTGTACATCTGGGGCTGCCCGGAGTAGGAAGTGGCAGGGGATATGTACTGGGGGTTAGGGTAAGCGTTAGAGGCAGGAGGAGCAACAGGCTGCTGAGGTCGGTAAGCTGCTGACCCCCCTGTTCCGAAGGAATACTGCTGGGCTGGCTGGTAAGCTACATCAAGGGGAAGAAACAGAGATTTTAATTAGTTACATGCTTATTCAGACAGAGGTAGGGAAAAAAAAAAGTAATTGCATCCTAGAGAGATGATTTTAATCATTACTGTCAAAACAATTAAGACCAAAACCTAATACTTAGGACTGGAGACGTGGCTCAGTGACAGAACACTTGCCTAGTGTGGGCAAAGCCCTGGCTTCCATCTCCAGTACCTCAATAAGAAAAAGAAAAAAAAAAACAAAAAAACAAGAAAAAACACCATCCCTAGAATGCTGCTGGCGATAAACATTTTGGACCACCGGATCTAAGAGCTGCTAAAAACCACCTGTGACTTCCCTTTCCTGTGAAGACTGCAGAGACAGCTGATAACCACAAGATGGAGCCATGTAAGACTTAGCACCCAGAGCATGCCCTTTTCTTGAAAGCCTATAATTTCAAGACTTCAACCTTCAACCTGAACTCATCCTGGGAGATCTCAGAGCCACCACACTCTGCATGAGCAGGACAGGAAGGAGATCCACGAGACAACAGCACCACTGAGCACTGCATGGAAAGGGGGTCAAACTCTGAAAAGGATCAGTTCTCATGTGGGGGGGCATCTGGGTTTTTATAGTTGTTTAATGTTATGATTGTCCCCTGAGATCTTTATTTACGTCCTTTGTTCTTAATTTCTAATAGTTGTCTAATAATTTTAACCTTAAAGTTTTTATTTAGGTTCTTTATTCTTAGTTATAAAACAGTAGCTGCTTGGGATTTTCTTCTTTTTCTTTTTCTTTTGAGATAAGTTTTCTCTACATACCCTAGGCTGTCCTGCAACTATGTAGACCAGGATGGCCTTGAACTCATGAGTGCTCTGCCACATGAGTGCTGGGATTACATGCACATCCCACCACACCTGGTGGTAGTTTTAATTTTTTTCAGGTGTAACTGCTCTCTTTGTCAAGGTCAAACTATGTTTTGTGTCATGTTGTCTGAAGAAAAAGAAAATATACTGATAATTTCTACAGCTGTTTCTCTATTCCAAAACCACAAGACACACCCTTCTCTTTAGCAGGTCTTTTACCCGATGCAGAAATGGAGCACAAATCTGCTTCCTAGCACACAGACTCAGGACTCTTCTCTGTCTCACTGTATCTGCTCCCCACCATGGCCACCCACCCTGGCGCTGGAGCCCGAACACTGCAAGAATCCTAGCACTGAGCTACATCTTACCCCCCTTAGTTTATCTGTCAAAGCTGATGTGACCGTGGCTTTGTTGCTGCTAAGTAGCTGAGGGAGGGCAGGCCACCGTGAAGACTCCAAGGGCCCACTACTTACGCTGCGGCTGTGGGTAAGGTGGTAGCTGGTTGTGCATATGTCCAGGAGATGGAGGCGGCGGAGCAGCGGTGTTTGGATTAACATTGCCATGCATTATGAAACCTGGAGGCGGAGGGTTTTCTCCCTAGAAAATGAGAATAGAGTAGAAAGGAAGATTATATTTGGGACCAAGAACATCACCAAATGGCCTTGCAATCTCTGAAATGGAATTCATGTTTATTTTTTTAAGCTACTGGGTGAGAAAATTGCATTTTGTATATACTATCTTCCAAAGAACACCCCATTTTCTAGGTGACACGTTCTGAATGATTGAAAGGTTCCAAGTAACGGCAGTGAACGGCAACCTAACAGTCCCACAACATGGTCAGGGACACTGTGCTGACACTGAGCATCTCTGCTAACTTCCATTTACTACTGCAGACTCTACAAAGAAGTGTCATAAAGAGACTCTCTGTCTTTATTTTCTGAAATGCTTACAAAAGAAGAACAAAAAATCAATTTAAACCATTATTTGAACCTTGGTTGAGATTTTTCTAGCTCAAATAAATTTAGAACTGCAAAAGCAGAGAAAGGATAAGAAAATAAATTAATTGTCCTAAAATTTGCCACTTGCATCCCACAGGCGATAAAATGCAATGAGCAGCAGACGGACGCAGAGTAAGGACCGGAGAGGAAGGAGGAGGAGGGCAGAGAATACACAATCATATATATAATTAGGAAATTGTTATATATATATTGAAGTGAGCAGATCATGCTCGAGGAGGAATAATGAAGGCTATACCTGTGTGTCAGAGGGAGAGGCTGCAGGTGGATGGCTGGGAAGGGCAGTAGGAGTTTTGTTACTCCAGGTAGTGACAGTAGGGGCAACTCTAACCTGAATTGAACAAAGAAATACCAATCACAGAAAATAAAAAGTAAAAACGTTAAAAGAAGAAACAAATAACTCAAAAGGCTTTAATAGCAAGACACAAAGTAAGAAATAAAAGCAGCAAGAGTTCATGTAGTACAGCAACTGCGTCCAGGACCAGCAGGTTCCAAAGGAAACCAACAAAACAGCAGGCAGAGGCAGGAAGGGCTCAGGCGAAGACTTCAATCAAAGCACAAGAACAAGCCCATTCAGCGATATATGAGGAGAGGCTCAGTTGTTAAGAGTTTTTCTGGTTGTTCTTCAAAGAAAACCAGGTTCGATTCCCAACACCCACAGGACAGATCACAACTGTCTGTAATTCCAGTCCCAGAGGATCTGGCGAGCATGCAGGCAAAACACCCATAACACATAAAAATAAAGAAATAAGTAAATAATAAAAAGAGTAAGTAGGCAAGAAAGGTCCTTTAGGTAGAGAAAGAAAACTCTGGGATAATGCGTAAACCATCTCCATGCTACTAGTGATCTGCAACATGCTCTATCAGCCACCTCACAAGAAATTGTATACTTCCTTCTGTCTGAATATTCAAAATCTTATAGTCAGAGCACACTCAAGCTGGGTATTAAAGATTGTTCATCTAACCCCAGTCTTTAGTTAAAGGCAACTGTTACGATCCATACAGCTCACTGGTGATGGAGGTAAAACTGACCTGGCCTTCCAGGTTCCGGGCAGTGTATCCCCTATTATGCCAGACTGCTCACTCTTGGGTCATATCTAAAGGTTTTCTAAAAACTTTTTAAGCCAGCAAATCCTTTTTGGTGTGCAAATCTTTAAGAAGCTCCAGCACACACACATACACATATAAAATCAAGCAAAGCAAAGCTGAGCTGGTTAAAATGATACTGCAACTGCTACTAATTCAGCTTCCTTTCCTTCCCTTTTCCCACTTGCAAAACTACTTTAAAACTCACCACTGCCCTCACCCATTCAGCAAGAAAATCCCTGTTTTATTTGACTGAATTGCCTTGTTTTTCTTAAAATATAAGATTGGTAAAAGTACAAAAAAAGGCGGGGCGTTGGTGGCACACGCCTTTAATCCCAGCACTCGGGAGGCAGAGGCAGGTGGATCTCTGTGAGTTCGAGGCCAGCCTGGTCTCCAGAGCAGGTGCCGGGATAGGCTCCAAAGCTACACAGAGAAACCCTGTCTCGAAAAAAAAGATTGGTAAAAGTGAAGCAGATTATTTTGTGATTTTTGTTGGGGGCTGTGTTGTCTTATTTTTGAGACTGGATCTCGATATGTAGCTCTGGTCGGCCTGGGATTTGCTATGGACACCAGGCTGGCCTCCAACTCAGAGATCCACTTGCATCTGCTTCCCAAGCGAGTGAATCAGCATACCCAAAAAAGTTCAGCAGTCTTTAAATGACTTTACCATTTCTTAGAAAGATAAACACAAAGACAGGAAGAGTAACTGTTCTTTTCTCTGAGTGTAGAGTAAGTGTTGATTTATTTAGTATCTTAAGAAACTGCTTAGTCTAAACACCAGGTGACTGAAAATTCTAATCCCTGTTTAGCCCTCAAGCAGCCATGCAATGCTGAGAAATGACATTTCTGTGTTTTGACCTCTGCTAGGTCACTTGTCATCCCACCTCTCCACTTTCTTGGCCCACATTTAATTCCCACTTATACCACAGGCTTTGTAAGTACAATGTCCACAAGGGCAGAGAAATTGTGTATTGTGTTTACCAGGGTAATCCCCAGAGCAAGAATATGCCAGGCACTCACAAAAGAGCTGCAATAATTATTTGCCAAATGAACGAAAGAAAGAAAGAAAGAAAGAAAGAAAGAAAGAAAGAAAGAAAGAAAGAAAGAAAGAAAATGCAGTGTTCTAGATAGTAAAGCTATATTCAAATATAATCTGATTAAGTTCTATTCTTAATCAGTTCTGATTAAGGATTGATCCAAAGTCCAAAAATAAACAGCATGAACTGGACCTAGGTGTCTCCAGATTTTAGATTTACTTTTCCTATAATGAAAATTGATTGGTCCTATCACCAATTTGTCCTATCTGAAATGTCAACTTCGCTAGACCCAAGACTATTTGTAATCTATATACATTAAAAAGCTATTTTCCATTTAAGAATATGTACATAGGGCAGGGTGTGGTGGCACACACTTTTAACCCCAGCATTCTGAAGGCAGAGGCAGGCAGATCTATGTAAGTTCAAGGCCAGCTTGATTCACATAGTAAGTTACAGGCCAGCCAGGGCTACATAGCGAGACCCAATCAAAGAAAGAAAAAAAAGGGGAGGGGGAAGAAATATCTGTTGGTCTGTATATACAGTTTCTGTATGAAACTGTAAAAAACAAGATAATCACATTTTATGTCACAAACACAAGGTTAGATAAAATCAGTAATCCTATGCATGTTGGGCACAGCCCTCAACCAGTTCTCTGCAATGTGTAAGTTGCTCCATTGAAATGTTTGTCTTCAGGATACTCTTGACTATGTGGATACAGAGGACACAGTAACCTCACACTGGTGACAGGAAAAAGAATGATCAAAAAAGACTGTCTAAAAATTAACCAAATCACTGAAAGAGTTATTCACTCTCACTCCTTTACCTATCTACTTTGTTAAATGAATCCAGGAGAAATTGGATGGACAAGTATGAGAGAGGTCTGACCACTCTTCCTAGGGCAATTAGAACTAAAACAATTGCATAAAAGAGGTGATTTTGAGAAGCAGGTCATGAACACCAGTCTCAAGTGCACAGAAAGTCTAACTACGACACAAGATGCCCAGTCCAGTTTCACTATGTCTTTTATCGAGCACATTAAAATCATCCATTTGGACAGATGCGCACACATGTTCCCACGTCATCTGGACCCAATCACTCACATGGGGATAATATTGCTGTGTCTGAACTCTGGGCATCTGCGGGTGGCCAGCACTTGGTCCAGGTCTGCCCTTGGACAGCGGCTGCCTCTCATAAGGGCTTTTAGATGATTCCTGTCCTGGCACAGGCTTCCCTTGTGCTCTGCAGAGTCTGTCACGCAGCTGCACAATATTTGGCTGTAGGAAGCAACGGAAGAAAACAAAACTGTTAATCACCCAGCTGTATGATAGCTTGCAGACCCCTTCCAAAATTTTTATGTTGGGTATTCTACAAGAGTCACATTCTACTCCAGAGTCAACCTCCTGGTTTCTGACATGGAGACTGGCACCTGCGGGTGGCACTGCTTAGTGCAACTTGCAACTTCAGTGAGGCAGGGCTTGGTTAGGCCGCCAGTTCAATGCCATACTATCACTACTCTCTGGCTGTTTTATGGCATTGTAACAGTGTTCCCAAGTCACAGGACTACTTTAAAAAACAAACTGAAAGAAAGCTCTCCAAAGAGTATCAACTGCTGCAGATAGTGATGGGAAGTCTCCAGCAGATTCATTAAGAGACACTCTTAAAATAACTAAGAGAAAGGCATTAAACTCAAACCTGGACCTCATTCAGATTCACAATGCAGATTTGTAGAAATTAAGCATATATATTGACTGTGTACATGAGTCTTTAAAAAAAAAAAAAATGAGCTGGGTGTGGCGGCATAATCCCAGAAGTAGGGAGGCATAGGATCACTAAGCTTGAGTGCAAGCTGGTTTAAAGTGAGCTATAGGATAGCCAGGGCCCCATCTTGAAAAACTAAACCAAACCAAGATGAACTGTCAGCTTAATTACCTGGTTAGTGTTGTCAGGCAGAAACGCCAAGGCTGCGGCAATGCTCCCTTGAGCTGCCAACAAACTGGCATACTGACTCATCTTCTCAGCCAAGAGAGCTCCTACTGTATTCATGTCCATGGCTTGGGTGAGCTGCACAGCTTTTCGGAGGATGACAACTTTCTCAATCAGATCCTAAATGATAAAAATGAGGGACAAGAAGACAATCAGAGATCCCAAACACATGTATGCAAGAGGCAGCAAAGAAACAGAATCATTAAGATTTACAAACCCACCAAAGTACAGCGTCGGTCCTCATCCCTACTTGAAAAGTGTGGGAGAGCTAAGTGTCATCTGGGTGATGGCCAGTGAGGAGGTGAAGGAGGAAAAGGAGGAAGAAGAAGAGGAGGAAGTCTGCCCCCCATGGACATAGTATACTGAGGAGGAAGGGGAGGAGGTTGGAGCCTGCTCCTCATAGAGGATGCATGAATCCTCAGCCTGCCAGACATTTGTCCACTGATCTCACACAGACAAATATCCAAACTGAGAGTGATGGGCAGTTACCCCGTAAGCAAAGAAGAGCTATGTGCAAATGCAGCATGCCATGGTTACTGCAACAACACACTACCACACAGACTCATGACACAGGCACATGGCCTCCACAGGGGCTCCCTCAAAGGCTGGCACCACTGAGGGGTGGTAGAACCTTTAAGAAGTGGGGCCTTAGGTCAGTAGGGGCATCCCTTGAGGGGGCCGTGTGCCTAGGTTGCCTCTGTTGCTCTTCTGATCTTTGTGGCTCAGCCATGTGCTCCTACCAAAATCTGCCCCTTGCAGGAGGTCCACAGCCCCGGGCCACCCACCCTTTTACTCTCCAAACCATGAGCCCAAACAAAACCCTTTTCTGTAAAAATTAATTCATCCAGCCAATTAATCACAATAATGCAGAACTGACTAATACACAACGTGGCAAAGGCTGGGAGCTGTTCTTGGGGAGCAGGAGGAAATGTGCAGGAGACCCTGCCTGCTGCCCCTCAGAAGCCGTCAATCCATGAATGGGAAATGTTTTCCTCTCAGAAGCACTTGAAAGGGAAGGCTTGGGGTTTTTTGTTTGTTTGTTTGTTTGTTTTTTCTTAATCTGTCTTTTAGTCTTAAAGAATGATCTTTAAAATAATGACTCTATGGATAAAATGTTTTTCCAGAGAGAAAAGAGAAAACTACTAGACTGAAGTACCTGAAGACTCTGCCACTAACTGCTTTGGGAATCTGAAGCTACCTGGTCACCACAGTGATTTCCTAGTTTGTTTAGAGGTGCTAACCTGAGTTCCTGTGTCTTGTACTTCATGGTCCATAATTATAAATATTCTCCTCCGACTGCAATGTCTCTTATTCTCCAGCCCACACTGCTGCTCTCTGACAGAGGTAGAAGGAGCTTGAGAGGAAGCAGCTAAACCCTGGGCTACTTTCAGTGCTGTTTCCTACTAGCCCCAATGACTGCGGACCACCACGGGACCTCAGCCACATCTGACTAGCCACCACCTCACACCTGCTTCTTTAAAGACAATAAAAAACACACATGAGGATCCAGCCAAAGATAATGAAAGCAATAAGCTTCATAGATAGAGGCATTCCTAACGGAACCCTAAATACGTTGAGAAAACACTAAAATGTAGGCACCCTTTGTTTCAGAGATACTAACCTGAAGAGACAAGGGATTGCTACCATCTTGAGCTTTTGTCCAACAGGCAACCAGTTTTTCTACATTCCCTGCACAAATATAGCAGAGGCACGCTTGTGTCTGCAGGAGGCTATCTCCTTCACTCTCAAGCCTGGCTCCCAGGAGATCTGTGAATGGAGAGGAGAACATGGTAAGATGACACTCACCTCACTGTGTATGAAGCTGCCAGCAACTCGCTGGCATTTTCAGAGCAACCAATGAGAACCAGAAAGAAACACAATCACTCCAAATGCTCAGTGAATATTTAGTGTTAAGTGAATGGAGGTGGGCAGCATATCATATACTATATAAGATCCTATCTCCAACTGCTCTCCATCAAGTATATTAGAAAAGAACAGTAAGTGGGAAAATTTGAACATGAAATGAATGGCACATTCAGAAAACATTGTCAGTTAGCTAAGGATACTACAAATGTACTACAGGTACAAACATCCAGAAAGACATAGTGAGTATCTATGGCAGCAGGCAAGTTTCTGCGTTTCCTAAGCCACAAAGGTAGCCCTGACCTGTGATGATAAACTTTACCTGTTACTATTATTAACTAATCCCAACTAACATTGAGAACTGCATATGTGCCAATTAAAGGGGAGTAAAATGAGCTTAGACACCATCTTTTCTGGGACACACAGCTTGTAAGTAGCAGAGGTAAAATTTACATTCAGGTCTATCCAAAACCACTATCGCTGAACAGATTATTTTTAAATGACATATTTTATATTGCTTTTCCTTCTTTCGTCTGTCTGTGTCTCTCTTCTTACTGAGAATCAAATTCACAGCCTTGAATATGCTAAGGAAGTGAGCAGCTAGCGCTGGGCACAGTCCACCTTTGTATTTTATAATTCTTAATTGACATTGGACACACCAAGATTCCTACTAAAACTCCTTAATTGTGCAGCACACCCTGCCGCCTGTGCAATAGGTTACATGAGGGGCTTATTTCTTACCACACAGGGCTGAGAATTCATCTGGCTTAGCATAAGTCAACACTGCAGCTAAGGCCTCTCTCCAGTTTTTAAGATCACAGGACTCCACAATCTCCTTCCAGTTCTTCATCACCACAGCGGTGATGAGCTTGAAAAGGAAACAACAGGAAATGAAGTCTTCACTAGACACAGGAGACTGAACTGTCTAGTCTTCACATGTCTGCAGTGAAGTGACTGCACACAGAGCAATCGTGGCTCTGAGCCCAATACTCAACAGTCTTGTTTTTAAAACAAGTATTTACAGTTTTCATGACAAATCAAACAGCAGCAAAGTGAAAAACATTCTTGAATCAAATAACAGACGCTAAATTGCATCCATGTATTTTACAAAGGGCTTCAGGAGAAAAGTATAGGACACTAGCAAAACACTGTAACAGGAGGTTGTTCCTGGGTCCAAGGGTTCAGGAGAAGTTGCCTGAACATGGAGTCTTGACGGACTTTATCTGAAGGACAAGCAGGAAGGAACTTTATAAAGAAGTTAAAAAGCATTCTAGGGCCAGTGAGATGGCTAAGTAGGTTAAGAGTGCTTGCTGCCAAGTCTGAGGATCAAGGCTGACGGCCTATGTTCAATTCCCAGGACCTACTTGGTAGAAGAGAACCAATTCATTATTGGTTTGACCTCAACAAGTACTCCATGGCACATGTGCATGCATGTGTCAACACTTTAAAAAATAAAAAGCACTCAAGGCTTAGGGAGAACAGCCTGGAACACAGAACTGAAAGGCAGCCAGTGGCACACAAGGTAAAGCTTGGAAACTGAAGACAACCACCCCTGGGATTCAATATTGAGATAATTTCATGAAAAATAATTTCCAAGCTGGGCATGGTGGCCTATGCCTTTAGTTCCAGCACTTGGGAGGCAGAGGCAGGAGGATCTCTGCATCCAAGGCCAGTCTGGCCTACATAACATGTTCTACGACAGCTAAGGCTGTTAACACAGAGAAACCCTGTCTCCGAAGAAAACAAAAACAAAAATTATCCAAACTAACATCAAGCTTGAAAATGTTCAGACCCTCTCTACCAGAAATTATAGTAACTGAATAATCAAAACTCTGTTCAAATCTTTAGGGCAAAGGTTTTAATTACTACATAAAACGATGTTGTTTGCCTCTATGAGGAAAACATTAAAACAATCCTACATGGTGACATAATACATTCTAATCATAATATTGTAGAATAATTAAAAATATTTCTAACAGTTCTTACCAATTCAGGAGAAGCTTACACTGACAGTGTCTACAAGAAGAATGACACACACACACACACACACACACACACACACACACACACATCTATGTGTGCTCTTGACTGTCTATAGTAAGGTATGGAAAGATGGGCACTAGCTTCTTAACAAGGCTGGAGACAACTCAAGTTTTTATCTTGAGATTGCCTATACTAAACCCCTGGAGGGGAATCAAAACACTGGAATTTTAGCACATCAAAGCATAAACAGCCATTTCTGCATCAAAGAACTTAATTCTTTCCTGCCTTCTGTATCTCAATTATCCATAACAGCAATAGGATACTACCTCCATAATCAGAATAATAAAAAGTCTGTAATACTCAGGAGACTAAAGCAGAAGGATTGAAGATTCAGGGAAGCCTAGGGTATATAGCAAGACCCCCATCTGAAAAATAATTTTTTGGTGTGTGGGGGGTTTGAAGGCAGGGTTTCTTTGTGTAGCTCTGGCTGTCCTCAAACTCAGAGATCCACCTGCCTCTGCCTCCCAGGTACTCGGATTAAAGGTGTACGTCACCACACCTGGCTAACATAAATATTTTAAAGTATATATGTATAGGAGTGTATGTGTTTCTGTGCTACTATTTACTTTGAAAAATAACATACCCTGGTAATTTTGCTTTGAGATTTTGCAAAGTACTTTTTCTGTGTTTGAGCCAAAAGTTCTTGTCCACCTGCTATGGCTAATATAATAGCATCAGCCATTCGGTTATCATGTAAGCAAAGGTCAACTGCACTCTCAAAATTGCCCGTCAGCAAAGCCCGAGTAATTAATCCATCAATATCTGTAATAAGGAAAAACAACATCCAAGTTAAATAGCTTGTTATTAAAAACAATTACAAAACTATGCACACCAGTTTTTATACACAATTGGAGAACACAAAGCTAATTTTTTATTACAAGCAGAGTAAGTCTGTAAAATAAATGTCATTATTTATGGAAGTAGTCCGGGATGTATATATAGTAACTTTTTTTTTTAACATTTTATAATTTTTTTTATTACTTCAAATTAGGAACAAGCTTGTTTCACATGTCAATGCCTTCTCCCTCTCCCTCCCCTTACCCTCACCCCTACTCCCCCACCCCATCCACCCTCCACTCCCCAGACAGGGTAGGGCCTCAACAGGGGCTCCGAAAAGTCCACCACATCATCCTGGGCTGGGCCTGGGCCCTTCCCCATGTGTCCAGGGCAAGAGTGCATCCCTTCACGTGGGATGGGCTCTCAAAGTCCCTTCTTACACCAGGGAAAAATACTAATCCATATAGTAACTGTTTTGTGTGTTAGTAAAGATCACTTACATGTGTCGGAACTCATCACTCTTCCCAAGACACTGATTATATATAACAATTATGACCAAGTTCTTTCTTAACCCTACCCACTGTGACAACACATTTCTAGTTATACCTACATAACTGAAGTCCCGGGTCTTGGGAGACCCAGACAAGAGGATTGTGAGTTCAGATCCACCCATCTACACAAAGATCTCTCACTCTCTGATTAAGCAAGAAGACAAATGACTTGTTATGGCTAAGAGAGACTTCAATCAAAGCTAACAGCACTTACCCCCACTGACGGAGATGTTGAATGTCCCTCCAGCTGAGGGCGCAAAGTCGGACTCCTGTTTTTCCTCTTTAATTCGCTAAAGACATGAAAAAGGCAGCAACTTAGCCAAGAAGAAACTGAAATAACTTACTGCCAAAAATTATATATGATTATTCATCTACTGAGAAGATGATACACCAAGCTGTTTCAAAATGTTCCCAATCCATGTGTAGACCAGAAGCTTGGACTTACTAGGCATTAATTCCCATGAGACATAAATGAAACCCAGTCATCTGAAACACCAAATCAAGTGTTCACACTCGTCCCAGAGACCTGAAAAGGTGCTGTCAAAAGTAAGGAACGTTTCCTCAGATACCAACTCTGAGTGGCTTCAAAGACGCAAAATATGTGTGTTTTTAATTATAGTGTCTAGGTTTGGCTATAAAGTCTTGTTGTCAAAGTTGAATCACAAAACAAATCACTTGGTTTCATCAGTACCAAAGTAAAGCAGGGCCTGGAGCCATGACTCAGTTACAGAGTACATGCCTCGAAAGTAGGTTTGGTCTCCAATGTCACAAACAACAACAAAGAAGTATGAATACTGTTTTAAGCATTTGAGTGTTTCTGAATAAAACAAACTAAATCATACATTTAATTTTCTATAAATTAGTTATATATGGAACAGCACACAGTCTGATAATAGACACACACACACACACAAACTGGGTGACTCAATTAAAAATCTAAATACAAAATTGCTATGGAATATTACTTTAATTGTGTAATGGTATGTTACACTTGTTTATGCTGCTGAATATTACTGTAACAATGTGAAGATGTGTTACACTTGTTTTTGCTGCATTTGTTTAATTATGAAAAGATGTGTTGCATTTGTTTCACCTTGCATGCCTAAGGCACCTGATTGGTCTAATAAAGAGCTGAATAGCCAATAGCTAAGTAGAGAAAGGATAGGCAGAGCTAGCTGGGAAAAACAATAAATAGGAGAAATCTAGTTTCAAGGAAAAAAAAGAGAATGAGGGACACCCAGGGCAAGAAGCCAACCAGACATGAGAAGCAGTGAAAGTAAGACATACAGAAGGAAAAAAAGTAGGGGCTGGAGAGATGGCTCAGAGGTTAAGAGCAGTGACTGCTCTTCTAGAGGTCCTGAGTTCAATTCCCAGCTCACAACCATGCATAATGAGATCTGGCACCATTTTCTGGCCTGCTGGCAGATGGGTTATATTGTTTTTGCTTTGCAGTAAAAAAAGTCCCAAGGCAAAAGGTAGATAAAGAGAAACAGGTTAATCTAATGTAGAAGAGGTAGCCAGAAAGAAGCCTAAGGTAGGCTGAGCATTCATAACTATTAAGTTTCTGTGTCGTGATTTAGGAGCAGGTTGTTGGCCTAATGGAAAAAGCCTGGTACACAATATGATCTGAAATTCAGAGCTTAGATTTTCAGATTAGAGACAATGAACTTGTAAAGACCCACAGACGTCCCAAGATTTTCTTCTGAAATGAAAAGAACATTATCCTACATGAAATCAAATGTTCACACAGACATCTGTGCAGCCTGCACATCTGATTGTGACTGCCTCCCACTTTAGAGTGGAGTCATTTTTCTGCAGAAGACAGCACCAGCCCATCTAAAGAACTTAATTAACTGATCCTTACAGAAGGAGGCCAGACCTTCTTCCTTCTCTCCTTAGCATCTAAAAGTTTAGAGTAGTGCTGGCAGTTTACATTAATCCCACTGAGTTTACATTAATCCAATACCCACCCTTGTTAGTATTCAGGCATCTGCACTGGCCTGTCCTTGGGGTCCTGACAGGACACACCCTCAGCTGCAGTCACTAAGAGCACCACCTGTGAACATTCACTACATTACCCTTTAAAAGGGCCCTGCCACCCCCATCTTTCTGTTTCGCACTCTCTCTCTCTCTCTCCCTCTCCCCCTTCTCTTCTGCTGCTCCTATCCAAGAGGCTGGTCTCCCCTCCCTTTCCCCTAATAAAACAAAAACAAAAAACCCTCCACATGAGCTCTGTCCCACTGTATCTTCCTCTCTGGAGCAGCTTTTAAAATTACAGCAATCCTAACTGCATTTACAGAAAATATACACAAATTTACAGAACAATACTCTGAGAGCTGAGATGCACATCAGTGGTACAAATACATAAGACCTGGGCTCAATCCCCAGGACTATACAAACAGCACAATCTTCCCATTTTCTAACTCACCAGTTTTCAAACATGCTTTCTAGAAACAACTAACAAACCTTATGCTTAATTTCTTTTTTTTCCTCTTTCTTCCCTTTGTCTTTTTTTTTTTTTTTTTTTTTTTTTTTGTTTTTTTTAAAAGAGGTCTTTTGGAGGCTGTCCTGGAACTAGCTCTTGTAGACCAGGCTGGTCTCAAACTCTGCCTCCCAAATGTTGGGATTAAAGGCGTGCGCCACCATCCCCCGGCTTCCAAATGATTAATTTCTTATGTACTGAAAACCTTGAATGTACAAGGTACTATATCTGAAAAGCAAATAGTATCAAAAAAGACAAAAGGGAAGATCTTACCCCCTTATGGATAATTTGTTTCAAGCCTTCAAAGTCAATGATGACTACTATCTGGTGAAGTATTTTTATCAGCTACTATTCATGAGTGCATGACCAAACAGACTTGCATTTGATAATACAATTAACTATTTATACACAAATGAATATACTTGTAGGTATCTATAATTTTCCCTAGATATCCCCAAAACAAGTTCAAATTTTTAATAAGATTGTGTAATGTCCCCTACTTCTTTCTTAAATTCTAGGTGATTGATTTTAATAGAAAATATATTTCATAATCACTTTATAGCAGCCCAAGATACTCATGAATTATATTTATAAGCATTCCATAGTTAAGATATACCCCTACCATAAAAGGCAATGAAAAAGTCAAAGATTAGATAAGAAATAAGAACTTGATTAATAAGAACTTGATGAAATAAAATCAGAAAGAAAAGTAAGCTATAGAATTCGTTGTTAGTTGAGGGGAAAAAGAGTCACAAGGAAATAAATTAATGACACAACTCTGTATTCAAGGTCTCTCTTCAGTTAGTTACAGAAATTACTAAGCATAGCTAAGGACATACTAGTAGTAAGTCATCAAAATTAGTTTAGCTTTATAAAATACTCTTTGCTGTGTTCCAGTTCAGGACCAATTTAGAAGCTTCTATCACTGACATTGGGCTATACAAATTAATGTGCCAAGAAAAAAGCATGAACTTGACATGCAAGGCAATTGCATTTGTGAATAAAACTGTCAGTTTAGCATACAGGCAGCCATCTGAGCCAATTAAGGAAATCTCACATCTACTGCTAATTTTAAATCATACAATCAAGAAGCTTGGCCAATGAACTAGCATGCAAAGATACTTCTTAGATGAGGTAAATAGATGCTTACCCTTAGCACACCTGAGGAAACAGTACATCAAACATAATTGGCAACAAGTAGTCAAAAAAAAAAAAAAGTCTGTGTTTTCAAGTGAGATACACAATTATCACACAATTGTCCGACATAATATAAAAATAAGTACCTCTCCCAAGAGCTGCTCCTCAGCAGCAGGGCTCTCCTCCCCATCACTCTGTGCTACTTGGTCAGGGTCTTTAAGAGCCTTTGGTACAGAAAACAATCAGAGGGGATGAAGAGCGCAGCATTAAAGGTATTAGTAACAAGAGACAAAAGACCCAACCAACCGCACCCAGAGCTTGATCATGAGAAGCAACTGGGCAAATTCATTCCAGAAACAACATTAAAAGGATAGCAGGAATGATCACTACCACCATCTCCCCTTTTGGTTACCAAATGTCATGTGGCATTCAAGTGGTTTACCTTATCTAAGCAGACATTGGTTCAGTTTTTCCTTTTATGAAGTTCAAATATACCAAAGCACATGCTTTACCAGCCAAACTTAAGGTGAGGATCATGAACTTACAAAAACACTTAGAATTGGTATTTTCTAAACCAGGAAACACAAAACAGATCAACTTCCCAAGTTACACTTCTCGTCATGATCTAACCAAACTCTTGGGAGACAGCAGCTGCTTTTAGAGGCTTTCTTACCACGTCGGATCCATCCACTCTGTCCAAGGCCAGAGCAATCTGAAATGAAAACAACAACTCACCTACTACCTACAATTCTAATCCGTGTGTACAGCAAAGTTAGCTGTACTCCATTCTCAGCCACACTGTTCCTACTGGTTCTAGTTTCATTTGAACATCTGTATACAACTGGTTCCTACTGGTTCTACTTTCATTTACACAGAGTTCTTGGTTCAGATGATTTTCAGCTCTGCTGTCTAACCACAAAATCAACCTTGAAGAAACATGCTTCCTTGACCTTTGTTGTTGTAAAATAACTATAAATCACTGTTTTGTTAAGTCTTTTCTTTCTTATTGTTTTATTTTGTTTTTTTAAGACTGGGTCTCTCCATGTAGCCCTGGCTAGCCTGGAACTCATAGAGATCTACTGCCTCTGCCTCCTGAGTGCTGAGGTTTAAGGGCTGCACCACCACACCTGGCTTACAAATAGTTTTTTAAAAGATATCTTCAGGTACTCAATAAAGAACGAATTGCCTTACAAGTATTTTGATAGTGATTGCATTTCCTAATATTTTGCTTTCAGGCATACAAGTAAAACTTTAATCTCCTGAAAACTTAGAAAAATCAGAACATCAAAGAGCTACAGCTAGCAAGGAAATCAAATAAATACTAACACTTTAAAGGAGTAAGCAAAGACACTAGAAGTGTGGCTGCCCTCAGAGAAGCCCACACCTGGACAGCACCAAATGCAGCCACACCACTTAGGCAGCTATGTAATTCTACAGAAAACTTCAGTTACCACCAACAGAGGTGAAGGGTTAGAACAAAACAGTTTTCAAGGTTCCCATAATTTTTACTGCTACTGATGTCAACACCAGCATAATTAAGAGCCTTTCTGAGAAGACTACAAAACTATGTGTTTTTCTCTTTCAAAAAGGGAATTTTTTCAAAAGTTAAACTACAAAGCAAACTACTTGGGACTTTGTTTACTTAGGCTCATGAAAATTCCATCCTGTACCAGCTGCATGTTAGCTACCTGTTCAACAATAAGCCATTTAAAAATTTTGTGCTAGCTGGGCGGTGGTGGCACATGCCTTTAATTCCGGCACTCAGGAGGCAGAGGCAGGCAGATCTCTAAGTTTGAGTCCATTGACTACAGAATGATTTCCAGGACAGGCAGGGCTACACAGAGAAACCCTACCTCGGAAAAAAAAAAGAATTTCATACTAAGCCACTGGTCTAACTAGGGTGGGAAACCACAGCTGCCCCCCAGTGCTCTCTATGTCCCACAAGCTGTGCAGCAGGAAGACACCTTACGGCTGCTGTCCTCCTTTCCAGGCCACTGGAATGCACTTCAATAAACACCTCAATGTGTGTGACTTATTCTGGCAGCTTCTAAATCCAGGCAGAAAGTGGAGTTTCACATTTGCAAACTTTGGTAACACACACCAGCTGTTATTAACTGTTTGTTGACTGTTCTGAGGAAGTCTGTAGAGACTTTATAAAGCACACAGTCTGCACAGCACACGAGCATCTGTGTAAGGCAGTCATTTGATCTTCTCAACACTTTACCTTTTTCCCCAGGTCTTCTCTTCTGTATCCGAGAAGCTCCAGGTATTTCCCTCGAGAATCCTCCTCAAAGTTGACCTTTGAAAAGAGACATAATCTTCAAAGACCTACGTTTAAAACCTGGTTGTTCTAAGAATTGACCAAATTCCAACTCAAATTACTAAAAAATCAAGTCTATAAAATCCTGAAATTTCACTGTTCAAAAAGAATTTAAATAACCTTAGAAACTATTTAAGTATATAAGTATGCATATGCCTGAGAGCTAGTTTATACCCATTGAGTAGAGTACTGGCAGGATAGAGGGGGTGTCCAGTTCCTACAGTTGGCATTACAGATGGTTGTGAGCTCCCCAAAATCGGTACTGGGGACCCCACTTAGGGCTGAAAAAGCAGTCCATGCCCTTAACCAGGGAGCCAGCTCTCCTGTACTGCTGGTTTAATTGAGACTGGGTTTCACTATAGAACTTTGGTTGGCCTGGAACTTGCTCTATAGACCAGGCTGGCCTCCAACTCAAAGATTCAACTGCCTCTGCCTCTGCCTCTGCCTCCCAAGTGCTGGGATTAGAGGCATGTGTTAGCATTGCTTGGCTTTTGAAACGATAGTTTTAAAAAACTACTCTTGTGTTTGTTTGAGACTAGGTCTCCCCCAGCCCAGGCCTCAAATCCAGACTCTCTGTAGCAGATGATGAACTCTGAAGTCCCTCTGCTGCTCACCTTCGGATCACAGGTATGCACAAGCATCCATGGATTAAACTGGCTGTTTTCTAAATGTGTGGATGTTGAGTAACTCATCGTTCCGGATAAGTGAGGCTTGTTTCTAACTATAATTTTGTTAAATACAAAGGAATTCATGTTCAAAGGATCTATGAAAAAGTAAATAGTGTATGCAGTATTCAATACCCCACAATTTTAAAAATATTTCCCACCTAAGCTGGGTGGGGTGGCACACACCTTCAACTGCAGTACTAGGGAGGCAGACAGGTGGACCTCTGGGCCTGCCTGATCAACAGAGTGCACTTCAGGTGAGCCAGAACTACAAAGTGAGAGGCCCTTTCTCAAATGGAAACAAAATTTTACCCCTAACTAACCAACCACAATTTCTACAATTGTAGAATTTAACCTAATCATACTCAAGATTGTTTCTGGCCTTGAACTTGAGGTCTTGCTGTCTCAGCTCCCTGAGTGCTGGCATTACAGATGTGTGTTACTGTGCCAAGCTTGGGTTTCTTCAATTTCGTCATGCCTTCCTGAAATCATACTATGCCAAATGTTTCTTCGAAAGGAAGACAGACTTTGATTACAATAGAAACAATTATCGATAATGAAATAAACCCAACTTTACCTTCAAAAAGGACCAGACGTTTTTCTCAAACTCAGTCTGAGAAGCATCAATCTTTCTCTGGCAGTAACTGACAAAGCCCTGGGACTGCACAACCTGCTGCAGCTGCTCCGAGCGGCTGAGAAAGTCCTTTTCTGTCACCACCTGACTGATGAACACATGCTGCCGCTGTTGCTGCTGCTCAGCGGCATGCTGAGGCTGCACTTTAACATTCTCAAAAGTCACCAGTTTCCCTCCAAACTGTGAAAGAATAAATGAACTTGTTAGCCACTAAGCTGTGTCCCAAAGTGAACAAACTGTAAGCCTGTGAAAATAAAGAACTGTATGTAGATACACACACCCTACCAGGCTTCCAAATTTTACCCTAGCCTCCAGCTGTCCTTTTCAGTTTCCACAAGTCACCCTGTATGAAATGTACCTTGTGCTGTCCCATAATTTCTCCATTAAAATGTTACACTGAAATATAAAAATAAAATCCACCTACTGAGAAGGAAGCACCAACAGGCCTTCGGATCCACTTGGGTGGCTTCTTCAGGGGTAGCACTATGCTGTGCTGAGCAGTCTGCTGTGGAATTTGTAGTGGAGGAAGGGGCTGTCCTGTGCCAAAGGGATCAAGATTCCCAAAAGATGATGAAAGCTATTTTTTAAAAAAAAGTATGAGTCAGTAACTTATATAAACTATGTTACAATTTTTCAAATCATATACAAAAAATGTCTAATAACAATGATCCAGTAAAATGAATTCCTGGTTGGTAAAAATCACTGTAAAAATTTACACAACATGGTGATTTTTCTCAGTTGTAATTATCAAAAGCCTTAACACTGTCTATTACCTTGTCAACTTGTTTCTGCCTTAAACCGTCTATGCTCCCTCCCATGATAGAATAAACATTGATCCGTCCATCAAAGGAAGCAGCTGATAGAACAGCAGGATTTCGAGGACACCACTGGATATCAAAGCACCACTGTGTGTTGGTGGGAAGTTCATATAATACCTAGCCCAACATAAATAAAATAAGCAAAAGTTAGAAAAAAGAAAGCCAGATCATAATCAAAATAAGGAATGTTGGTAATAAGTACAGTTGAACATTTACTTTAAGAGTCTTTAGCCAAGAAAAACCAATGGTAATTGTAAGTTCTTCCTACAGTACAGTGGCTCTGGAATGGTCCATTAACAGGGATGCTACTTAATATTCCTTTTCCTAAAATGGCAGTAGTAGACAAGCTGGAAAGGTCAGAACATTTTATTAAATTCTAGTGCTATTAGTTTCAACTGTTTCTGCCTAGCAAGATCCCAAGAACCATAGTGAGGTCATTTGAAAACCAAACTTTAAACTACTCTTAGAAATATCGCACTGACAAATCTGGCTTTTAGCCAAAAGAGAAAACACATCTATCTCATTCTTATTGCTGAAGAATCCTAAAAATAAAACTTGCCTCTTAAGTTTTCTATAGAAGGGAAAGGACATGGGAAAACTTTAAAAACACTTTGACAGGGCCAGGGAGATTGCTCCATGTGTAAATACTTGCCATGCAAGCACGAGGACTGCAGCTCAAGTCCCTACACTCACAGAAAAAGCCAGGTCACACAGAAGGGGAGGCAGAGACAGGAAGATTCCTGTCTCAAAAAATAGATAGATATGCAACTGACAAAGACACGATATTAATTCTGGCAGCCAGGTGCATACACACATAACTGCCCATGTACTTGTACATACATGAACATACACACACACACACACAGAGGAAATTAAAAATAAATAAAAAGTTATCAGAATTGTTGCACTTGAGGCCCTAAGTTCAATGCTCAACAAACAGGTATTAAAACATTTTTTTGTTTATCCATTTATTCCTCTGTGTGTGTGTGTGTGTGTGTGTGTGTGTGTGTGTGTTATGGCTAACTATGAGGGGCATGTTACATTGCACATACAGAGGACAACTTTCAGAAGTCAGTTCTCCCCTTCCATCTTGTTGAGGCATATTGTTGTTTCTGCCATGTTGTATATCCATCCAAGTTGGCTGTCTCATGAGCATCCAGGTGGTCCTGCTTCCTATCTCACTGTAGGAGTGCTAAGGTTACACATGTAGCCACCTCATCTTGCAAATCCAGGTTTCCAAACTTAACTGCTGAGCCATCTTGCCAGTTGGAAGACTCTTTTTAATGGTGCTAGAAATCAAGCATAGGACTCTTATGTGCCGAACAAGTGCTTGACTTCTGAGCCACGCTCCCAGCCTCAGCTACTCATTAGTTTCCATCAAAATAAGTACAAAAGAACCTGCAATGATGCACTGCAGTAGAGACAAGGTAAAGGCATAAGGCTGTAAGTAGGGTCTGGGGAGATGGCGCTGCAGTTAAGAGCACTGGCTGGCTGCTCTTCCAGAGGACCCGGGGCCAATTCCCAGCACCCACA